TAAATATATTTTTATGGGATCTAAGGCACATCAGTTTATGTCACTGCACTCTGTTTTAGACTGTCACATCATAAAGGACAGTGACAATGTATTATGTAGTTTATATGTACAAATGTTCATTCAGATGTGGCTGGTTCTTATTAAAGCAGTTTTATGATTTAAAATTGTGCATCCTTTAGAGGAAAAATACTAACTCAGAATTTGGGTAGATTAAAAAAATAGTAATGCAATAAATACCTGCTAATACACTAGGGCTCCTACTACCAACGCTGGGCCATATTAGTGTGCATGTTATGACTCACCTCTTCTTCTTTTTTTTAAGATTTATTTATTTATTTGAGAGAGAAAGAGAGCCCGTGCATGCATGCAAGAGCGGGGTAGGGGGTGGGGTGGGGGAGGAGGAGAGCCAGGGGAGAGGGAGAGAGAGAATCTCAAGCGGACTTCCCACTGAGCGCAGAGCACATCGTGGGGCTTGATTTCAAGAATCATGAGATCACAATCTGAGCCAAAATGAAGAGTCTGATGCTCATCCGACTGTACCACCCAGGCGGCCCAACAACTTAACCTCTTCTTATTGCGGCTATTAACATAATGGTCATTGGTTGTTATAATTTCCTTTTAGTTCATTATTTTTGATGTGCATAATATAAATACATTTAGATTAAAACAGTGTACTTGTTTTCAATTAAATAAGGATTGGCATATGATAATCTCTGGAATTATTTACATGACTCCCGAGGTGGGGATAGATGTTAGCAAAATTATTTGACTGGAATCACCACAGTTAATGCAGGCTCTTTTCTTTGCTGGGAACAGAAAGCACCATGGCTGTAGCATACCCCAGCTAGGATGGTTGATTTTTCACATTCACTGGGCTGTTAGCATTAGAGAAACACAGTTTCACTCTAATCAGAGAAAGCATAAAAAGTAAAAGGTGTCATTCCCGACCCACCATTAGTAACACATGCAAAATCTAGGATCAAGAAGGTGTTATTTCCTTTGGAGCCAAGGCTCATGTTTCCAGTTGGAAGGTACCCTTTGATGGTCGAGCCGACTGCCCATGAATTGGTGTACAACCATTCACTTGGGGGGTTGGACTAGACTGGTTGAAAAATTAGATAATGGAAAGAGCATAAATAAGCCAACGAGAAGTGTAGACGAACCAGTCCAGTGGCTCAATTTCCTTACTCACTGAAGATTCTGTATTTGATGAATAAGGAGCCACAGCATATCACCTGCTCATCTTTGCTCTTCTAAAACAGCTGGAGTTTGATGTGACAGCCAGAGGAGAGATTGCTGCCTCGGGAAATGCTTTGCCTTTGACTGATTGCTGAATGGCTGGCAAATAAATCCTGGCACCTTTCCTTAAGTCATTTTGGTCCCATTCCTTCATTTTTCTGCTGGGAAGTGTGTACATTACATTACAGTTAAAAATACCCGCACAACACAAATGTGGAGAATAGCATCTACTGTTTTTGGGAAAGAAGTTGTAGGCTGGGATGGTTCCATTTTGTAGGGTAAAAAGGATGCCGCCATGCTCTGTTAGGAGGCCCGCACTCTTAGCGCAACTCAAAATTAGTGTTACTCCTCATCGACCTCCCACAAGGTCATGGGCTCCAGGGCTCAAGATTTTTAGTCCTTGGTGAGCTTCAATTCTAGTCTTTCCCCCTTTGGTACTTATGTGCAGCAAATCCTCCCTGCCCCCCAAAATCCTAGCACCACTCCTGCCTTATATATTTACCCTGTCATCTCTAGCAAGAGGTGACAAGGTGGGTGGTTAAGAGCCTGAATTTAACCTGTCCGTGCCTCAGTTTTATCCTCTGTAAAAGGGAAATCATAAAGACAATAACTTGCTCCACCCTTTCTAGATTTCTTTGTTCACTGCCATCGTCTCTTGTGTGAAGCACAAATGTTTTCAACTCAACATACTTTACACTTACTTTTCTGTTCTTAAGAATGCATTTCAGGGGGCGCCTGGGTGGCTCAGTTGGTTAAGCGACTGCCTTCGGCTCAGGTCATGATCCTGGAGTCCCTGGATCGAGTCCCACATCGGGCTCCCGGCTCAGCAGGAAGCCTGCTTCTCCCTCTCCCACTCCCCCTGCTTGTGTTCCTGCTCTCGCTGTCTCTGTCTCTGTCAAACAAATAAATAAAATCTTAAAAAAGAATGCATTTCAGGAGTGCCTGGGTGGTTCAGTTGATTAAGTGTCTGACTCTTCATTTCAGCTCAGGTCTTGATCTCCTGGTCCTGAGTTCAAGCCCTGTGTTGGGCTCCACATTGGGCATGGAACCTACTTAAAAAAAAAAAAAAAAAAAAGACATTTCATCACTGCTGACAAAGGAAAAAGGGATATACACTTTCATTTTTGCTTTTTCAAAGTTAAGTTAAAGAGGCCATGTTTGAGACTTAGAAGGGTAAACCCTTGGTAAGAAGTGATAGATAGTTTGAGCCTTGCCTTGGGATAAAGATGAAGCTCTGCTGTCTGAGCCTGTGGTGTATGCTGTGTCTGTCATAGGCTGGGGCTCATTCCTTACTTCTCCTGATGTCACTGGCCTGTTCTTGTAATCGATCTGTCCCAAATTGTCATTCTTGTCCTTACAGGTTAAAAGGTCTTAGTATTAATTGTAATTACTGACTCTTCTGCTCTTACAATTATAGATATAGGTTTAATTTTTTTTAATGGTGGTAAAATGCATATAACATAAAATTTAGGATTTTAACCATTTTTAAGTTTGTGTGTATATGTATGTGTAACACCTTTATCAGAAATATCTTTTATTTGAAAATAAATGTCTGCTATAAATGAAAATAAAATAACTGCTCTGTCAGTTAAGCATCTGCCTTTGGCTCAGGTCATGATCCCGGGGTCCTGGGATTGAGCCCCGCATCGGTCTCTTTGCTCAGTGGGAAGCCTGCTTCTCTCTCTGCCTGCTGCTCCGCTTGCTTGTGCTCTCTCTCCCTCTGAAAAATAAATAAAATCTTTTTTTTGGATTTTTTAAAAGATTTTATTTATTTATTTGACAGAGAGAGAGAAAGAGAGAGAGCGCTCACAAGTGTAGGGAGAAGCAGACTCCCCACTGAGCAAGAAGCCAGGTGTGGGACTTGATCCCAGCACCCTGGGATCATGACTTGAACTGAAAGCAGATGCTTAACCGACTGAGCCACCCAGGCTCCCCAATAAGTAAAATCTTAAAAAAAAGTTAAACTCTTAGGATTCAGGGAAATTAAAAAGTTTATGCTTAAACACATTGCAGTTAATTTTTAAAATCATACAGTTTAGCAGTAGAAATGGTTGAGTGCCTTTTTTTTTAAAGACCCCACTCTGGGGAAGACCAATTTGTAGATAAACAACCCATACCCAGCAGCATTGCATAGCTAATGTCTAATGTGTGGGAGTAGGTTAGAAGCAGCTCAAACTAATGAGGTTAACCCACATACCCTAATCATCCAGACTTGCACAAAGCAGACAAATAGCACAGAAACAGGTAGAATTCAATTTATTTCTAAATGATTCCTGCCTTCTTTGTATTCCAGAGTGTCACCAAGTAGATGGTCGGTGTTCATTTCCCACTGTTTCCAAGTTTCTTTCAACTTCCAGCATTGCATTTCCCCTAGTTAACTGACTATTGGGCCATAGGCAAGATGAGTTGTAATTCAACATAAGCACAAGACATTGTAAAAAGTCACTTCCTGTTGGCTGGGAAGCTGCCTCTCATCTCCCCCCACCAGCTTATGTAGCCTCCAGTAGAGGTTAATCAATCTGCTCAGATCCCTGAGTTCCCAGAGGGGCTCAGCATTCTTGTTGTTACTCACTTTATAATTTTTAAAGATCAGTTCCAATGTAAAATCCTTCCAGAAATGCTTGGCATGAAGAGGGTTGTTGGGAAAACCAGTTGAGCTTGATTAATTAGAAAGAAAACCCACACATTTTAATGAAATCTGGAGTAAGACCTCTCTGAAACTACATTTTACTTTTTGTGTTACTCAGGGTGTGATTGGAAAAATCATTTTTCCCCCGAAGTAGAAATATACATATTGTTTTATGCACACACACACACTCATTATAAAAGCCTTCAGATAACAGAAATCTATAGAGAAAAGTGTCATTCTGCCACTCAGATAACAATGGTTAGTGTTTTGGTATAAAGTTTTCTAGTTTTTTATGGCTTTACAAGCATTCAGATAATTATAGGGTATTTTTTTAGTAGGGTCAGACTATAAACACTATTTAGTAATGTGCCTTTTTATATACTTTCTATATGAACAGATACACATTTTCACCATAATTTTTATTATTTTATTTTTTTTTAAAGATTTTATCTATTTATTTGACAGAGAGAGAGAGAGAGTGAGAAAGCACAAGTAGGGGAGCAGCAGAGGGAGAGGCAGAAGCAGGCTCCCCGCTGAGCAAGGAGCCCGAAGTGAGGCTCGATCCCAGGACCCTGGGATCATGACCTGAGCCGAAGGCAGATGCTTAACCGAATGAGCCACCCAGGTGCCCCTCACCATAATTTTTAATTGTTTCTTTGTGTTCCATTGAAAAATGTACCTTCTGTGGTTATTTCCAATTTTTCATTAAAAGGATGTTCTTCTGCAAATGTCCTTGTATATGCGTCTGTTTCTTTGCTATGAATACTTGAAATGGAATTGTTGTGTAAAGGAACATGTACTTTAAAAATTTTTGTTAACAATTGCAAAATTGCTCTCTAGAAAAGTTGTATCGATTTACCTGCCCACCGGTATCGTGGGTGAGTGCCCACGCCTTCACACCCTTGGAAATCATACAGGTTAGAAAAGAGTGTTGTTTTAGAGGAGATGCCCTTCCATTCTATGAGCTTAGGGTCGTGGCCAGCTTCCCGTAGATGATGTGGTTGTGTTCCTGGTTGCTGAAGATGGTCACCATCACATAACTAGGGCATTCATTTCGTTGGCCAGATGGTATACTCTGGTTTCCCTTTTATGGTGTACTCTCATACCTTAAACCTGTGTTCTTCTCTCTTAGATTGAGGAGGACACGTGGCAGAAATACTACTTGGAAGGAGTCTCAAATGAAATGTACACAGAATATCTCTCCAGTGCCTTCGTGGGTCTGTCCTTCCCTACTGTTTGTGAGTAAGTGACCATTCACCATGTGCTCTTTGGCCCTCAGGGATGTTTAATGTGGCCCTTGCAGGGAAGACACCTCACCTCTGCCCAGCATGGTCTGGGTACTCAACAATTACTGAGGGTATCCTGTGTGCTCCGTCCTGTGTGGTGAGCGGGAAGGTGGGTCATTATGTGGTCCCTGCCTTGGGGATTTCTGCTGGCCCTACTTTTCCCTGCAGCTCTGAGAACCTTATGCTTAGATCCATCATTTGCACTAAATTATGAACTACAGTCCTGCATGTTGTGAATTAGGCTCCTGCCCCATAGACACAATTAGGAAGGGTGGTAGGAACCCATATCTCTGATTTTACCAGGATGAAAACAAATCTTGCTAGCTCCTTGATGAAAGGAATTTTAATATTTTTCAGTCAAGTCAGATCATAGAGACATCAGAGAAGCCATTATTCAAAGTGCATTCATGATTTGCTTAGGAAATGTGGAACCAAATGTATAGAAGGAAGCCTTGAGCCAGCCCTTGGTAACTTAGCCCCAACATATATGGACAACTGGCATGTTATGACAGTGAGAAGACTTAGCTTCTCCTTCTGTTGGCTCAGCAGGAGGAATTTGAGCAAGAGGCAGCCCCAGCCTGCCATGGCCCCTCTAAGTAGAGTAGGTGACCATCTAAGGGATATGACCTCAAGAGTTCCAAGGGTTCCAGACCCTGAGAAACTTCCATCATGATGATGCCTCAGATTTCCCACTTAGAATCTCAGATGTTGGGTGTAAGTCAAACAGGGGTTTTGTTCCCTGTGAAAACACAGACTCCCTGGGAATGCTGAAACATCAAGCCTGATCCACTGATGCTTTAGCAAAAGACTTGATAACCTCAGTCTCACTGATAAAGACTGAGAAGAAATAGGGGAATCTGGGAACGCATTGGGCTGAGGAAGAAAAGCTGTTCCCTTGAGCTGTCTGGGTGCCTACAAACAAAACCCGCCTTCTGGAAAGTGAGGTCTGAAGACAATAGTCCTGGGAGCCCTTGGGCTCCTCTGTCTTAGAGCTTTCTGTTCTGTGCACAGCGGAGAGGCAACGGAGTGCCTGGGAGCTTAGTGTTTACCTGAAGACTCCTGTCAGTGAACACAGCAGGTGTACTCTATCTGTCTCTGGGCCCAGACCCTAAGCAATCCAAAATGGTCTGGCTGTTTACTGAAATTTCTCACCCTGTCTCTAAGCGAAAGTTTAAACGCTAAATGGACTGGAAAAGTGAATAGGTAATTGATTTGGAAGGAGTTATTTTCTGAAAATGGATGCCCTATTGTAACTCCCATGTGCTCTTTTCTTTGAGAGCTATTTCTCTTTCTGCCACAGAAAGAAGTTAACCATTCAGAGGCATTGGGTCCTGGAACATTGAAGCTGTCCCAGGGGATTTTCTCTACCTTGGAGTTTGACCTGCCTGAGATAGAAAGCCCAGGAGGACTTTTAATAGAAGCTGGTTCTATTAAAGAACAAAACAAAACAGTTGAGTCCTCCTATATGATGTAGGGGTGGTCTGAGCACACTGCAAAGCCACCAATGCCCAGAGGGTCCTATGGTGCTGGGGGCATTAACAGGGGAGAGTGTGAAGATGCGCTCCTTCGCTGTTGATTTTCCCTGGCTTGACCAGTGTTTTTATCTACCATGAGCGCTTCCTCGGAAGCCTGCATTCCCACTGCTTCTCTTTTTCTGCTCCTGGGAACCAAGTCAGTTCATTTTAAGAGTGTTAACCTGGAAGGTTAGAACCACTCCCCCTAGAAGCTGTAACTGGGATACCCGCAAGGTACATTTGATTCACAGATTGGGCCCATGCGGTATTTAATGTCTTCAAAGTAAGTTGCCAATATTTCAAAATAGTGGTATTTCACATAAAAACTAGATGTCTGGCATCTCTTGAATATCTGATGAGCTGACACAGGACTTGCATTTTCACCGGATGCTAACTGGCTCCATTTTGTTAGAAGGAAGGGTTTAATGTGGGTTCTCCCCGCTCTGATGTCTTAAACCAGGCCAGATTTGCACTGATATCCCAGGCCGGCCCCACAGACACGTGAATTTGCCAGTTCTGACTCACTGGGTGGTGTGAAACTTCACTGCCCTTTGGAGCCAGCTCAAGAACTGGACACTCCTTGCTGCTGTAAATATTTCCCTTGATTGATTTTCATGTTTAGAACATGTTGCAAGGAAGAGAGACTCTTTCAGACACAACTTGTTGTCTGAGAATTTAATATTTGTTCAGCACGGCTTCTGGAATACAAAAAAACCAAACTTCTGATGTGAATGAGAATGTGTTCAACTTAGTACTATTATTCGTTCAGCACAATGATACAGCAGAGGTAGGAATAATCAATAAAGAAAGGACATTTAATGAGATTTAGGAACATCCCAAAACATTGAAGCTCTCCTCAAGCATTTGATTATCTGGAGGCTTAATTATCTGTGTTTTCTACTTTAAATTAAAGAAAAGCCATAACTCAAAGTTACCAGCAGTTTAATGATAACACTCTTCAATTCAGGTTAATTAAAGCACAGCCGTAATTAGAGTGTAGTGTTGTATATCACCGGGCTGACGCATAAGTATTTTCATTACAGTAAGAATTGGCTATTCAATTTCAAGATGACAAAAAGGACGCCAAAATATATTTTAAGCTGGTTCATGTAGAAGAAAAAAGAATTGGGGAATATTCTGGGTACAATAAAGCACAGATAAAATATACAGATTTTCAGAGCAGTTTCTGTAATTATGCACCACATTAAAACAATATGCAGCCAATAACATCTTAAAGCATGAAAAGAAATGAATTTGCTCTTCCCCTGGGCTGGCAGAGTGCCCCCTTGCAGGGTGGGATCACTGCACAGGAGAGCCTGGAGTTTTCTCAGAAGCTGGGAGAACCCCCCCTTTTTTTAAAGATTTCATTTATCTATTTATTTTTATTTATTTATTTATTTATTTTTTAAAAGATTTTATTTATTTATTTGAGAGAGAGAATGAGAGACAGAGAGCACGAGAGGGGAGAGGGTCAGAGGGAGAAAAAGACCCCCCACTGAGCAGGGAGCCCGATGTGGGACTCGATCCCGGGACTCCAGGATCATGACCTGAGCCGAAGGCAGTCGCTTAACCGACTGAGCCACCCAGGCGCCCTCATTTATCTATTTATTTTAGAGAGAGAGAGAGAAAGCCAGCAGGGTGAGGAGGGACAGAGGGAGAGGGAGAGAGAGAGTCTTAAGCAGCTCCATGCCCAGCGAGGAGCTTGATCTCACCACACTGAGATCATGACCTGAGCTGAAACCAAGAGTCCGATGCTTAACCAACTGAGCCACCCAGGGGCCCAAGGAGAGCCATTTTATGAAAAGATAAGGGAGCAGGATCCATGGATGAAATTTGAAGTCATTTCCCCTGAGAACAGAATGGGGAAGAAGGAGAAGCAGGAGGGACAGAAGACCCCCACAAGGCAAGCTTTTTACAGATTTCAAGTGGAAGGATGCTCTCTCCTGTCTAGGTGCGACCCACACCAGCTCTATCCTTGGACTTCTCTGCACTAGCCTTTTGGCTTCACTGTGTGTATCAGCAGAAGATGCAGCTTTGTTCCAAAACCAGTAACTCATATAGACAAAATGCAGTATTATTTCTAAATAGTTCATTTACATTTCCTCATTTTATCTTCATTATGATCTTGTGGCTTATATTAATAGCACTGTCCCTGGCTTATCCTGACAGGGACACTGAGACTCAGAGGAATTTGGTGCCCCTCCAAAGCCACCTAGCACCCAAGTAACAGAGCCAGGGTTATGATGCTGGGCTTGTGTAATTGAGAGCACCTTGGGGTAGTTGCTAGATGAAAGCTGGCTAATTACGAATCTCCTGGGGAGGGGCGCCTGGGTGGCTCAGCTGGTTAAGCGACTGCCTTCACCTCAGGTCATGATCCTGGGGTCCTGGGATCAAGCCCCGCATTGGGCTCTCTGCTCAGTGGGAGTCTGCTTCTCCCTCTCCCTTTACCTCTCTGCCCTGCTCATGCTCTCCTGCTCTCTCTCTGTCAAATAAATAAATAAAATCTTCAAAAAAAAAAAAAAAGAATCTCCTGGGGAGTTTACTAAATAGAGAGATTCCTAGGCTCCAGCTGTATATTTCAATATCTGGGGAAGCTGCACCCCAATTTGTACTTTTTATAAACAAGACAGGTGATTCTGATACAAAATCTGATGACTGGGACCCCCCCCCCCCCCCACCTCCCGCCACTGCCACCACTTACCTCATCCCTCCACACCACAGGCTGGAGTAAACTCCCCTCATCCCTCACTGTGGGCTCAGTCACTGGAAGGTTTCTCTCTGATTTTAGCCAAATTATAGAATTAGATGTGGGCCACATGTCACAAGCTTGCCATCATTCCTGCTTCACGTGGGGTATTCTACAATGTCTAGGGAGATAGGATGAGTATACACATCACCACACCAGGCAGACCACTGACTGCTCTGCCCCCTTCCCATGCCTAATCCAAGTCAGTACAGGAAGAAGGCATTGGGGTACTGAGCCCTGTAATGCTGATGCTGGAGCAAGCAGATCAGCGCTAAGTGCCGAGAAGCCCAGGGGAAGACCAGTACAAGTCAGAACGCAGACACCGCTTGACCTTGTTGGCAACGAAGGTGGGTATGTCCTGGACCTTCCCCAGGATGCCCTTAGGTGTTCCTTTTAAGAGCCAGCAACTTCTGAGCCTCTCCCCTTCATTTGGCGTAGCTGGCTTGCCCCTGGGTTTGTGTGACAGTATGATCAAGGCAGAGGAGCTTTGGGATCTGAAAGAGAAGGTTTCTCAACACCAGAAAACCACCTGTTCACTTTCCCTCTCACTCTCCACCTTCCCCAGGGAAGCAAGTGACTGTGGAGGGTGCAAGGGGCCAACGCCAAGCCTGCGGGAAGCGAGGAGCTGGGGTATGAGGCCATGTTTGCCACTAAAGGGTCTTGTTTTTGCACGGTTCCCATAGTAGGATGCGGTGT